TTTCCGAACCTGGGGCTGTAGCCTCTGCTTGTCTACAGCGGCCTTCACTCACAGAACGCCCCGAAGCTGGAGTGGCTCCGTGGGTGCCTGGGGCCCGGGAGAAGCGGGAGGCCCGTCGCAGGGCGTGGAGGGTCGTGGGGTGTAGGGTGGGGAGGGCGCAGTGAGAAGGGGCGGGGCCACGGCCAGATTGTTACCGCCGGTGCCATAGCAATCGGGTCACGTGGCCTCCCCGCCCCGCCTCCGGAGGGGGCGGCGGGGTCTCCAGGGCTCAGAAGCTGCGGGTTGGGCAGAGGGTTTCCAACGGGACCCTTGCCCTCCAGTCGGCCCTATGGATTCTCTTCCCTCTTCAAATCCCCTCCCCTAGCTCTGCTCTCCGTTTTAAAGATGGGGAAACTGAGGCCAGAGAGCCTAACGCCCGGGCCCGGGAGCGTAGGATCCGCTTTGGTTCATAATGTGCACAGACACAAAACCAGGCGGAGCGCACGGAGCTCACAACCAGGAACCAGAAGCAGGATCCGCTTCTGCCGTCGGGGTGCGGTCCGGGTCCCAGCAAAGGGGGGTGCACCGGGCGCCCCTCTGCTCCTCGGAGGCCACAGCGGAAGCGACCAGATGGGGGGGCGCGGCCCGGCGGGGAAGCACCTGCCCTGGAGCGCGAGTCCAGCTCGCGGCGCGCGCCGATGACGTTACGGCGTCCCTAGCGACGGCGGTCACTAGGGAGCAGCGCGCGTGGATGACGTCATGAGGCGGCGCCCCTAGCAACGGTGGTTCTTAGGGAGCGGCCGACGTGGCAGCATGGACGCGACCACCGGCCCGCACCGCATCCCCCCGGAAATGCCCCAGTACGGGGAGAGGCACCACGTCTTCGAGATGATGCAGGTGACCCGGGGGGGCCGCGTGTGTTACTCACGAGGTTTCCCCACTTGCGGAATCTGCCTCCTGGGCCGCCGTGACCCCGGGGGATACCGCGGTCTGAAGACACCCCACCCCGCGGACCCCGGGGGCAGAAAAGGGGCGAGCCACCCCGACCAGGGTTGGCTCCTGGCTCTGCCAGCCGGCTGGGTGGCCTGGAGCAGTCCCTGTCCTAGTCCCCCATCTGTGAAAGGCGGGGTTAGCAGGGGTGAGCTCCAGAGGACCCGCCCGTGCAGTGGTGTTTCTGAGCTGGGGCGCCCGCTCACAGTGGCATGCCCATCCCCGTGCCCATGCCCATACCCACGCCCACGCTCACGCCCTGAGATGGCCGCCTCCTGGGATAGCAGCGCTTCCCACCTGCCCTTCCTCCTCAGGACCAGGAGTTCCTGGCTGCGCGCAAGCTCCTCCTGGGCGCCCTCCCTGTGTGACCTTAGTCCCCAGCGTGTGCTGCAGGTGACCCTTCTGCACCTGCTGGAGGTCCAGCCACACCGACTCTGAGGGCCAAGGGGCCGCTGAGCCCCTCCAGAACCTTTGTCTGCTCCGCTGGGTCTGCCCCCCCCAGGGGCACCTTCGCGACGCCTGTGGTCATTTGAACCTCGACCAGCACACAGGAGAGCAGAGCTCAGGCTATGAACCCGAGTCTCCATCTCTCCAGCGAGCCTGTGCTTCCTTTGGAAAGTGTTAACTGATAGAGGAGGGGGGAGAGGGAGAGAGAGAGGCCAGGCTGTCCAGGACTGTGGAGGTAGTTGGCAGGTGAATACTATGTCCCGCCTGGAGGGTACGTTGGCTGAGCTGAGGGCCGAGGCAGCCTGTTCCAAGCCGAGGGAGCAGCCCTGGCCGAGGGTCGCGTGCATAACAGAGAAGGGTCTGCGACGCACAGAGGGACGAGGCGGGGGGGCCCTGGGACCGACTGAGCCAGGGGCGAGGTCCCTCCGCAGCAGCACCCACACAGCCCCTCCCTCGTGTCTGCTCACATGGACCCAAGCAGCCGCCATCAGGGCAGGGGCTGGGTCCCAGGGGGAAGGCATATTGGTGGGTGCAGTGGGAGACCAGGCCTCCCGGCCTTTATCCATGGTGACCAGGGTGCTGGGCCACCTGAGCTGGGGGCTGGGGGTGCCCCTGCAGGGGTTAACTTCCTGGGTGTCTGCCCTGCACCCACAGAGCATGCTGGAGCAGCTTCTGATCCACCAGCCCAAGGATCCCCTCCAGTTCATGATCGAGCACTTGCAGCGAAACAACGACCGCGGTGAGCACGCGGGGCCCCTCCCTGCGCCTCCCTCCCCACCCCCAGCAGCTGGGAGCCACTCTGTCCTCCGGTGTCTGAAGAAGGGCCTGAACGGGGGGCGGGGGGGGGGGCGCTTGGACCACTGGGGCTGGTGGTGAATTGAAAAATTCCCTCATTTCTTCGGGAGCACAACTAGCAATTCTCTCGTGGGGTCATTAAAGGAAACACCTCGGCGTGGCCCAGGGAACCCGTGATTCATGCTCTCCCGCGCCCCAGCCGATGGCGCCCGCGGGGTGTAAGCTCTGTGATCACTCGTCCGGTGTAAGTGTGGCGTCTGGTCTACCAAACAGGCAGCACTCAGGGTCACTGTTTTCCTCACGGTCTCCTGATGGGCGCCCCTTAGTGAGTTCCAGAGCTCCCCCGCCGTCGGCTGGACCCACGGCCAGAGCTCGGACCGGGGCGTGGGGAGGACAGGCTCCGCCCGCGGGTCCATCTGCCAGGAGCGGGAGGACCAGTCTGTCCGGTGTGGCTGTCAGGGAAAGCAGCTCTGATGTCCCTTTCACTGGAGCAGCCTGCTTTGCAGGAGCCAGCCCAGCGGCATAGCGCTTGGGCAGCCTCTGGGGGAGGCCCGAGATGCCTGTGGAGGGGCTCAGAGGCTCAGATGAGAAAGGACTCTGAGTAGCTTAAAAAAAAAAAAAAGGGAAGAGAGCCCTAGCCAGTTTGGCTCAGTGGATAGCGCATCGGCCTGCGGTCTGAAGGGTTCGATTCCGGTCAGGGCACATGCCCGGGGTGCGGGCTCGATCCCCAGTGTGGGGCGTGCAGGAGGCAGCCGATCAATGATTCTCATCGTTGATGTTTCGGTCAGTGCTGTTTTCCCCCCCCCCTCCCTGCCTCTCTCTCTCCCTCTCCCTTCCTCTCTGAAATTAATAAAAAAATATTTTTAAAAAATGGAAGAGAAAGGAGACGCCAGGCCCGTGAGCCAGGCACACCAGTCCTCCCACGAGCTCTGCCCGCAGGTCCGTAGGTGCCGGGCTGGCTGCGGAGCTCGGAGTGAGGACCCTCGCAGACCTCGGCCGGCGGTTCCGGTTCCGAGAGTCCAGCGGCCTTTTCTGAGCCTCCCGCTGGGCAGGACTGAGCACTGACGTTGACTGTGAGCTCGGTGCCAGGAGCACCCCTTCAGCTGCCCACTGTGCCTCCCTGCCTTCCCGCCTCGGCCACGAAGCCTCGGGTCTCGGTTCACACAGGCGGGAGGTCCGCCTGGGCCTGTGAGTCAGGTTGTCCCGCCTCCTCCCAGCCACGGAGCCGCCTGTGTTCCCTGGAAGCCGCTCTCACCCTCCGCTTCCCCGGTGGCTGGTGCGGAGGGAGAAGGCTCCGGACTCGCCCAGTGAGTGAGCACGCGGCGGGCAGCCGCCTCACGCGGGACCAGCAGCTCCGGGACAAAGCGGGCGTTTAGAGTAGCCCTGGGCGACACGGCTGCCCGAGATGGCGATGGTGTGAGCGCTGTGGAGCGTGCGCTGCGTTGCTTAGCAGGCGTTTGCCCGGGAAAGCCGCGGAGGAGCCCGCCCCCGAGGGCTTTCTGGTGAATTTAAATGGTCTCCTCGTTAAGCCTCCTCCTTAAGCCTCGATGGGCGCAGAGGACGAGAGCCTTTGATTCCGTTTGAAGTGGTTGGAAGCAGTTGGTTGCCCGTGGCAGCCCGCAGCCTGCGTGACGCTGTTGATAAATAATTACTCACCAGCAGGGCGTTAGGTTTAAGCAGCTGAAGTTAAGCAGGTAAATGTGCGCGAGAACCTGGGCGGGGAGGCCGTGGCTGTTCCCTTCTAGGCATTTCCACGGCTGAGAAAGGACTCTGGGTGGCACTTACGGGTCTGAGCCCTGTCGCTTTGTCGAGATGAACGTGTGACTTGGGAGTCCACCCGTCCCCCAAATGCTCCTGTCGGGCTGCGTCCCCCTTCTCCACGGGTTCCGCAGGCCCTGAGCCTGCTGGGTCTGGCCCAGGGTCCGAGGACCTTGTGGGGAGGCCTGTGGCCAGAGCTCTGGTTAAGCGGCAGCCAGGAGAGGGGTGCACGGGCCAGACCACGCCCCGCCTGCACCTCCTCTGGCTCTGGCAAGCGGGCCCTCTCCCACGGTCCCACGGCTCCAATGCACAAGGCCCTCCCCCTTGGCCACCCTCCCCCCTTGGCTACCCTCCCCCACATCTGTCGTGGCACCCCAGCTCCACTGTCCCTCAGCAGCTCACCTGACCCTCTGTCCCCACAGCCACCTCATTTCCAGGGCGCGGGGGGGGGGTGCTCTGAGGTCACTGGTCAGGTGAGCCCAGATCGGGGTGCAGTCTGGGAGGTGCTCTCCCTGGTGGCCCTGCAGGGCCAGGTTCCTGGGTGACAGTGGGGGCACGTCCGGGGCAGCCCCACAGCCCACGTTCCGGCCATGGCTGCAGTGTCTGGTGACCGGCCAGTCAGTGCTGTGTCCCCCGACTCCGCCCTGCCCCACGCTGCATTGCTCCTGGGGTGGGGGTGGCCCTGCCTGGCTCCTCCTGTGCAGGATTCTGCCAACCTCGGGGCCCTCGGACTCAGGGCATCCGCTTCCTGCCGCTCGCGCCCGGGAATGCTGAGGGCAGAGGGCACCATTGGCAGGAGGCAGCCATGTGGTGACAACGGTGGCACCTCAGGACAGCCGAGGGGGAGGTCCGGGCTGTGCAGGGGGGCTGAGACCTCGGGGAGCCTGCCGTTGGGGGGACAGCGACACCGCCGGCTGCTCAGCTGTGGCGCAGACGTTGGGTTGGGGGAGGACGACAGTCCTGCTGGCGAGATGACAGGTGAGGAAGTAGGAATGAGGCTGCCCGGCCCCTGGACCCCAGGGCGGCCAGGCCGTCCCACTGAGCAGGACACACCAGCCTCCGGTGGAGGTCACGCCCTCTGGGCCCTGGAGGACTTGAAGGTCACAGCCCTTTGGCCAGAAGAATGCTGGGAGCGAGCTGCCCCGGAGGGAAGTGTGCAGCTGTGCTGGGCGGAGCCTCGCAGCACCTCCTGCAGGCGGCCAGGCCGTGGAGGAGCTCCGGGCGCACCTCCTGCCCCCCACCCTGACTCACATCACCCCCCACAGGAGAGGGGGCGTCCGAGAAGCAAGTTCTGCCCCTCACACATGGGGGGGGCCGGTGAGCCAGACTTGCGAGTGTTTAGCGACGCAGAAACAGCCGTGTTCTGGAGCCACCAGTTGGAAATCCCACAGCAGCAGAGCCGGGACAGTGTCCACATCACGCGTGTTCTGAGGAGAGAGTGGTCCCGTGTCCCAGGCGGGCAGAGGAGGCCCCTCCGTGTCAGTGCCCAACCTCCGGCCCAGCGCCCAGCACGGGAGAGGCGCTCCGTGAGCATTGGGGGACTCAGCTTGAACGACCTTGGACTTTCTCCCCGCGTTTTCCCTGAAGACGAGCAGGTCCTGTGAAGCCGGGCAAAGGCTGCTAACCCAGGCCGCCTGCTGGGTGTGGGTTGCTGCTCCTTCCATCGTGAGCCCTCTAGGTCCTTCTCGGTGTCCACTCCCAGCTGGGGATGGCGCCCGTCCGTCCTCTGCATGGACCACCTCTGTCCATCGTCCCACCTCTGCTCTGTGCCCCTGGCTCCCCACCGTTAGGGGAGGGGTCAGGGTCCAGGCGCCACGTTCCGGTTCCTGCGGTTCCTGCGTTTGGAGCCCAGCACGCGCACCTCCCACCCTGTGGACCTTCAGATGCTGGTCTTCCGGCAGCCGCCCCACGCGGTGGCCTGGGAGCCACCGTGGGAGTTCTGGGCGGGGAGAGCCTGGCCAGCGGGAGCCCCCTGCAGCTGTGTTCCATGTGCATAGAAATGCCCGTATTTGAAAACAAAGACGTCCCTGTCTGGGTTTTAACCCGGCCCCTACCTGCAGGCTCCCCATACTCCCCTCTGTAAAATGGTGGAGAACGCAGTTTGCTAAGTAAGAGGGCGTGAATATAGGGGGAAAGCTTCCGAGGTCGATTTACATAAAATGCCGCTTTGTTTGAGAGCTTGTCCCCAGACAGAGCCCCTGTTTAAATGCTTTACGACGACGTTTGGAATCTCAGTTGTTCCTGATATCTATTAGTTTGGCAAACTCACCGCGTCCGTGTTCCCTCGGAGACAGAAAAATAAGCCGTCTCGGCGATCACTTACCTCTACGCACAGAGAATGTTCTCTGGCGGGAACCGCGGTTACAAACGCGTGTCACCTGCAGAAAACGAAACCCGGGAGGAGGGATAAACGCTGTGCACCCGGCGTCGGCGGGCGGGAGGCCGCGCTGTCGCACGTGCGCACACGTGGTGACACGCACCTTCCTCCCGCACCTTCCTCCCGCAGTGCCGAAGATCGTGATCCTGGGCCCGCCCGCCTCGGGGAAGACAACCATCGTGAGTGTGTCCCCTGCGTGTGCGACACGGTAACACCCCCAAAGCAGGACGAGGCTGCGCTCAGCGACTTGCGTCCTTCCCCGTCTCCGGCTTCTGACTTATTGTTATATCGTAAATCAGAAGACGCCTTGATCGATAAGCCAAATTAATTTGGAGTCTTCTATTATTACGCTCGCGCTGGCGGGCTCAGAGTAGAGTGTCTCTGTCAAATTCTGGGCCTCAAATAGAGGAAGTCTTTCCTATTTATACTTTTTTTCAGCTCTTTGTTTTCCAAATTTGGAACGAGACTTCCGGGCCTTCTGAGGAAGGGCCTGTGTGCTGGGAAGGGGCCGTGAGACCACATCTCCAGGCCTGGCCTGGCGCCAGCACTGACAGCTCTGTCTGGGACATGGTTTACGGCCTCTCTGGATGGGAGTCGTCTTATTTTCCCCCATTATTTAAGCCAGCAAACGCTTACAGAAGCCAGAATCGCAGGGTTAAAATTTTAAACAGCAGTTTTTACCCAAGATGGAGGTTACTGTGCTTCAATTCTTCTTTATTCTAAAATGTATTTTTATTGATTTCAGAGAGGAAGGGAGAGGGAGAGAGATGGAAACATCAGTGATGAGAGAGAATCATCCATCGGCGGCCTCCTGCACGCCCCACACTGGGGATCGCGCCCACAGCCTGTCCATTAGACTCCGACGCTCAACCAGCTGAGCCCCACCGGCCAGGTGGCCTCGCAGCACCAGGCCCCGCACTCTGTTCTCACCTGACAGCGTCTGCTGGGGAGGCCCAGGCTTCCTGGAGAGCGCCCCCAAGGCCAGGCTGAGGCTGGGGGTGACCTCTGCACTGGCTGGGCTCCCCGAGCCGTGTTGGAGCTGGTGGCGGCCGGGCCTGAGGGCTCCGAGGGCCGAGGGCCTTTGTCCCCCAGACGGTCGCCACTGTCCCTGCTCTGGCTCTGCTCTGAGCACAGGGAGCGTTGATGCAGCATCTGTGACTCGAGCAGAGACCTTCCGTCAGGGCCCCGCCCCTCCCTGAGGGGGGCAGGCCCACAGCGCTAGCTGCACCCCCCCATGGAGGGACACACAGCACCTCTCTTCACAGTAAGGTGACATCCAGTAAAATCCAGGCAGAGGCCCCCAAGGGCTGTCTGCTGACGCGTCACCGCGTTTCCTGCGTGAGGAGCGGAGAGGGTCAGGTTCATGCCTCCCGATGCCAACGTGGCCAGGGGGCGGCTTGGCGTTGAGAGCCTTCTATGCGTTATTATCCCTTCGGACTCACTCTCCCCTGCGTCTGTAGTAGCTGTGAATGAGGCCCGAAGAGGCCGCCTCCCCGTCCCTAAGAAAAAGCCAGCATCGCCCTGGCTGGTGTGGCTCAGTGGGTAGAGCGCCAGCCTGCTGACTGGAGGGTCCCCTGCATTCGATTCCGGTCAAGGTCACGTGCTCGGGTTTCGGGCTCGGTCCCCAGTGTGGGGCGTGCAGGAGGCAGCCGACCAGTGATTCTCTCTCCTCACTGATGTTTCCACCTGTCCCTCTCTGCCATCAACAAGAAAGAGAAGTCAGCATGGAGTGTGCCCGCCCGCATTTAGGGCCCGTCTCCGTTCCCTGTCTCTAGGTCACAGCTCATGGCCCGTGGGCTCCGCCACGCGCAGCCAGCAGCAGGGGGCAGGGGTTTAGCTCCTGAGCAGGTGGGGCGGCTGGAGGTGCCGCTGGGGTTGTCTCCCGGAGCCTCCTGTAGAGACAGTGACGCCCCCCTGTGGCCAGGCTGTGTTCACGGAACAGGGGAGGGCCTGGGCGTGTCCTGGGGTTCCCTCCATTACGGCTATCGGCTTCCACTTCCTTCAGGCCATGTGGCTCGCCAAGCACCTGAAGACCAACCTCCTCACCCTGGACAGCCTGCTGGCCATAGACCACTCGGAGCTGGCCGAAGGGGCCCGGAGGCACTATGAGAGGAAGAGGGTAGGGCCGGCCCCCCACAGAGCGCCATCTAACTGCTCAGTCCCAGGCTTCCTGCCTCATGGCCTGCCTGGCACTCAGGGGGAGCAAGTGATGCCCCCTCCCTGCCCTCTCCCTGCCCCTGCCCCCTTGCCC